ACAGAGCAGAAAGCCGGCACCAACACTCGCTGTTCTCAGCTGGCTTCCATACTCCAGTGCCTGGGAACAGTGCAGCACTTAGGCGCCACCCATTCTTGCAAACCAAGGGATCCTCGGACAACGGTGTCACACCTGGGATTCTGCCCCACTTCACACCTGAGCACCTTAATGTTCCCCACTGTAGCAGACCTCTAAAAGTTCAGATTTTGCTTATAATACTTTGTGGTAACTTCTGTAAGTAGGCTTCCTCCCTGCAACTGTATCCATAGCTGTATCTCTCCCAATTCAACTCTCTGCACCTCCTAACTTCCAAAAGAGGTCACTTTTCTACTTGTAGACTTGCGGTTTTTGTTCTCTCAGACTTCTGACTGATTTCTTGGGTTTTCAGAATGATTTGATAAATATCTAGCTGTGTTTGTGGGACGACACAAGCTTAGGGTCCCCCTAATCCTTTGCCACCTTAACTCCTACCCTATAGTGTCCTTCTTTGTCTCTTATTACAGTCTTTGGTTTAAAATCTAGTTTGTCTGATATAAATATTGCTAACTCTGGCTTTCTTTTGTCATCTGTTTGCATTATAAATATTTCTCCGTCCCTTCACTTTCTTTTTTTTTTTCTTTTTTTCTTTTTTAAAGATTTTATTTATTTGACAGAGAGAGACACAGCGAGAGAGGGAACACAAGCAGGGGGAGTGGGAGAGGGAGAAGCAGGCTCCCCGCAGAGCAGGGAGCCCGATGCGGGACTCGATCCCAGGACTCTGGGATCATGACCTGAGCTGAAGGCAGTCGCTCAACCAACTGAGCCACCCAGGCGCCCCCGTCCCTTCACTTTCAATGTACGTGTGACTTTAGGTCTAAAGTGAGTCTTTTCAATTATCATATGGTTTCACTTATATGTGGAATATAAGAATTAGTGCAGAGGATCATAGGGGAAGGGAGGGAAAACTGAATGGGAAGAAATCAGAGAGGGAGACAAACCATGAGAGACTCTGGACTCCAGGAAACAAACTGAGGGTTATGGAAAGGGAGGTTGGGGGGGGGATGGGGTAACTGGGTGATGGGCATTAAGGAGGGCACATGATGTGATGAGCACTAGGCGTTATACACAGGTAATGAATCATTGAACACTACATCAACAACTAATGATGGCTACTTGAATTTAAATGAAATAAAGTTAGTCTTTTGTAGGCAGCATATGATGAGTCTTTTTTTTTTTTTAATGCATTCTGTTACTCTTTGTCTGTGGATTGGAGCATTTAGTCCATTTACAAATATTCAGAGTAATTATTGATAGATAATGTATTTAGTGCCATTTTATTACTTGTTTTGTTATTCTGTCTAGAGATTTTTTTTCTGATCTTTTCTTGTCTTTTTCAATTTTGGTCTCTCCTTTCCACTCAAAGAGTCCCCTTTAATGTTTCTTGCAGGGCTGGTTTAGTGGTTTTAGTTTTTGTTTGTCTGGAAAACTCTTTATCTCTCCTCCTAGTCTGAATGATAGCTTTGCTGGATAGAGTATTCCTGGCTGCATACTTTTCCCATTCAGCATGTTGAATATATCATTCCACTCTGATCTGGCTTGCCATGTTTCTGTTGAAAAAAAATCTCCTGCTAGCCTTATGGGGTTTCCCTTGTAAGTTAAAGACTTTTTTTGTCTTGCTGCTTTTAAGATTTTTTTTGTTTATCAATATGTTTTGCAAATATAATTACAGTATGTCTTGGTATTGACCTTCTTTTGTTGATTTTGCTCAGGGTTCTCTGTGCCTCCTGTATCTGGCTTTCTGTTTTCTACCCCAATTTAGGGACGTTTTCAGCTATTATTTCTTCAAATAAATTTTCTTCCCCCTTTTCTCTCTCTTCTTCTTCTGGGACTCCTATAATAAAGATATTACTACATTTGATGGAGTTACTGAGTTCCCTAAATCTATTCTCATGTTGCATAATTCTCCTTTTTCTCTTTCTTTCAGCTTCATTTCTTTCCATACATTGTCTTCTGGGTCATTAGTTTGTTCCTCTACTTCTTCCAGCCTGATGTTTATTTCTCAATTGTGTTTCTGATCTCTTTTATTGCACTCTTCATCTCTGATTGATTCTTTTTTAACTTTTATCTCTATGGTAAGGATCTCACTGATGTCTTCTGTGCTTTGCCCCAAGCCCAGTAAGTATCCTTACGATCATTGCTTTAAATTCTCCATCAGGCATGTTACTTGTGTCTGTTTCACTTAGATCTCTGGTCATGGCCTTATCTTGTTCATTTGTGACAAATTCTTCTGTCTTTGCATTTTGTCTAAATCTCTGCCTTCTTCTGTGTGTTAGGAAAGCCAGTTATGTTTCATGTTCCTAAATGTAATGGCCTTATGAGAAGTGTTCATGCAGTGCCCAAGGCCTGGCGCTTCAGGGAGTGTCTCTGGTGTGTGCTGCTTGCACTGTACTGATGTTTTTGGCTTCTCTGTCCTTCAGACCAGTCGTTTGCAGAGGCTGTCCTTGCCTGCTGTGGGCAGTGTTTGGTGCCTGGCCTGAATGTGGCAAGTTTTAACTAGGTGTGCTCTTCTGCTTTTGAAGTGAGACCTGTCACCACCTCCACTGCAACTGAGGCCCTGCGGGACTCCCTGTTTGGGAGATGTGATGTGGGCATGAGTTTGTGCTGGTCTTTGGAGGAAGGACCCTCTGCACTGGAACTGAAGGAAGTGTGACTGGAAGGCAGTCTCACCAGAGCACAGAGGGGTAGGGCTTCTTGGTGCAAAAAGTTAGGCAGCCAGTGTTTGCACTGCACTGCTTCCTGCAAGTGACTCTCTTTATGCTTCGGGTCAGGAGAGAGAAATGGCGCCAGCTAGCTCCTTTGTTCCTGGAGAGGCATCCACTTAAATACAGCTCTTCAGGGACATGTTCCAAGAAGAGCAAATAATCTCTCCACTCTGTGCCCCAGACACTCTTCAGATCCCTGTTTCCATGCTATCTGTCCCTCGGGTTGTTTGCTTGCCTTACTTCCAGGATTTGGACAGTGCCCTTTGGGCTCTATTGCAGCCAAGTCTGCTGACCTTTAAAACAACAGGTTTTAAGCCCCACTGGTTGCAAGAACTTAACGAAATTTAGCCCCTTTCATTTTCCAAGTCAGTGGCTTTGGGGAAATGTTTTTTGTGCGTCCCCCTGTGTGCTCCTCTCTCTTGCCCTTCTCTACCACCTCTGCTCCCTCCCTCCCACAACACTCGTGATCCTTTTCTCCCCTAAACCATGTCTCTGCACTTCCTACCTCTTCAGTGTGGCCTCTTTTCTTCTCTTAGTTTTGGAGTTTGTTCCTTCAGTCTTCAGGTTGATTTCTGATGTATTCAGGATGATTCAATAGTTACCTAGTTGTATTTTTCAGATGAGGCAAGTCTAGGGTCTGCCTACTCCAATGTCATCTTTGAAACCCCAGGAGAGATGGAAATTCTAAGAAAGAATAAAACAGAAATGCTTAGAAATCAAATGTATTATAACAGAAATGAAGAATTCCTTTGATAGGTTTGTTACAGACAAGACACAATTAAGGAAAGAATTAGTGACCTTGAGAATGACATAGAAACTTCCAAAACTGAAAATGAAATTGAAAAAAAGTCTAAAAGATACCCAGTAGAGAATATTCAGGTACTGTGGGACAATGACAAAAGGCATAACATCTATGAAATGGGAATATCAGAAGGAGAAGGAACAGAGAAAAAAAGAGGAGCAATACTTAAAGCAACAGTGACTGACAATTTCTAGAAATTAACATCAGACACCAAACCATAAATCCAGGAAGCTCAGAGAACACCAAATAGGATAGATGCCCTCCAACCAAAAAAAACCCTCCACAGGTAGACCAAAAATAAAAAACTTCATGTAGGCATATTATACTCAAACTTCATAAAACCATAAATAAATAATCTTGAAAGACAGAAGGAAAAAAAATGTCCTACTTATAGCAGAGCAAAAATAAGAATTACACCAGACTTCAGCAACCATATAAGCAAGATGAGGGTGGAGTGAAGTATTTAAAATACTGAGAGGAAAGAATCAGGGTCCTAGAATTCTGTAACCTGCTCAGTTAGCCTTAAAAAGTTAGTGAGAAATAAAAACCTCAAACAAAAATTAAGGGAATTTATTGCCAGTAGACCTACCTGCAAGAATGTTGAAACAAGTTATTTTGAGAAGGAAAAGGGTATAGGTCAGAAACTTGGATCTACATAAAGAAAGGAACATCAGAGAATGAATAGGTGAAAGTGGAATAATAGTTTTTATTTTTTTTTATTCTTAATTACTCTAATGGGTCAAACTATATGTTCAAAATAACATTTGTGTAAAATATTTGTTCAAAATAATAACATTACTCAATCATGTTTATATGATATATATGCTTAAATGTGTGTAATACATATAAGTAAATTGAATGACATCGAGATACAAGGGACGAGAGGTAGGAATTAGGAATATTTTGTTATTATGAGGTGCTGGCTCTATCCTTGAAATGATACAGTGGGATATGAGGGTGGAGTGGGATTAAATAAGAAAAATCACATCATCATATCAATAAATGCAGAAAAACATTTGACAAAATCTACCACCTATTCTTGACAGAAAATCTCTGGAAACTTAGGAATAGTTCTTCTATTTAGTGAAGAACATCCACAAAAGAACCTAAAACTAACATCATATTTAATGATAAGACACTTGAAGCTTTCCTGCTAAGGTCAGCAACAAGACAAGAAGGTTCTCTCTCACAACTGCTTTCATCATTGTACCAGAAGTTCTAACTAATGCAGTAAGACTGTAGAAGGAAATAAAAAGGTATACAAATTGGGAAGGAAGAAATAAAACTGTCTTTGCAGATGACATGATCATTCTATGTAGAAAATCAGAAATAACAACAAAAAAAATCAAGCAGTTATTGCAAGGTTACAGGATATGAGGTTAATATAGAAAAGTGAGTCACTTTCCTATGTAACTGCAATGAGTAAGTGGAATTTGAAATTAAAAACAGTGCCATTTGTGATCATTTTGGCAGCACATATACTAAAGTTGGAACGATACAGAGAAGATTAGCATGGCCCCTGCACAGGGATGACGTACACATTCATGAAGCAGTCCATTAAAAAAAAAAACATAATACCATTCATATTAGCAGTCCACCCCAAATGAAATGGTTAGGTATAAATGTAACAAAATATGTACAAAGTTTGTGTGAGGTAAACTACAAAATGCACAACATATCTAAAAGGCCCTCACCAAAAAAGATAATACAGATGTGAAGTAAGTATATGAAAAGATGTTCAACATCGTATGTTATTAGGGAATTGACAAACTCCAAAACACTGACAATACCAATTCCTGATGACAATGTGCAGCACAGAGCTTTCACTTATTGCTAGTATATATTTATATTCTTTTTTTTTTTTATTCTAAAGAATTTTGAGATAAGCAGAAGAGTATGCAATGAGACTGAATGGGGACGTTAAAGAGTAACATAAAGTTGCTATCTGGCCCTTTACAAAGAAAGGGGGGGGTGGCCAACCCTGTAGTAGAGGACCATAGCCAAGGTATGATTGAGGGAATGTAGGTATAAGCTTATAGTGACATTGATTACTTTTAATTATATAATTAAGATCCAAACAGAAGTTTGCAGATAGGGGAAGAAGGTACAGAAACATTATAAATGAGGTGGAGAAACCATTGAAACAGGAAATTTTAGAAGCCACACTCCTTTTCACTGTGTATAAATTTATTTCACAATGTAAATGAAATGGATAATTCTCTGTGAATACATAATCTACCAAACCTCACCCCAGGAGAGATGTAACATCTAAATAGACAAACTTCCAAATAAAAACTTGAGAATGTTGTTCAAGATCTACCCCCAAAATTTCACTGTGAAATTTTGCCAAACCTTGAAAGAACAGGAAATCCAAGAATAGCATCAGCAAATTGGTGGAACAGGAGTTTTCTACCATCTTTCCCCCAAAGAACACTGATTGTGGCAATCACACACAGGTGAGAGTACCTTTGTGGGACCCAGGAATCCAGTAGAGAACTTCCAAGCACACCACTGGGAGGACAAAAAAATCTTGAGATTGGGAACACTGAAGAGAGTAAGCAGAACAGTTTCACTTTTCCTATGTCACCCCATCTCCAAGGTGGCACAGCTCAGTGCAAAAAGATGAACTCGGCCTGCAGTTTCTCCCACAGGGGAAAGTGAGAGCATGTGAGTGAGTTTCCTATTTCCCCAGCTATGAAGGATGCTGTCAAAGACACTCACTTCTCTCTCACTCTTTCAGAATACAGGGGTGATCTACATGACTGAGGGGCAGGGAGACTGGGAGCATAACAGCCAGTGTTCAGAACTCAACAAGGAACACAGATCTTACTAATCACACACTCCATTAGGAAGCCTGGCCACTAGCTGATGGGAATACTTGGCCTGTGAATCGCCCCATCTGACCCACGGGCATCTCTGACATTTCATTCTCCTTACCGACATGGTGCTCCACCCTATACCTGCAGAGTACAAGTCTTTGTGGACAGTTAGAATAAGTAGAAAGCCAGCTCAACCCTGTAGAAGTGAAAGAGAACATACAAACTTGGGCATTTAGCACTGCTGTAGGGAAAGCGAACAGGAGACTCATAGCATGTAGCCTGGCTTTGTGGAATTAGGAGAAGGCATACAATCACAAGAATTCACTCCTAAGAGGGGACAAGAAGTTTGGAGTAGGCATATTCATAGAAAAGGTATGATAAAGCCTCAGAATCCCTAGCAGGGCTGACAGAAGGCATTTTTTCCCCCCGAAGGCAGTTAGTAAAGACGGGAGGAGGTGAGTAGTTCTTCAAATGCTAAGACGACAATGTAAGGCTTAAAGAAACATGAAAAATCAAAGAAATAATACCAGTAAAGGAACAAAATAATTTTCTAGTAACTACTCCAAAAGAAATGGAGATCTACAATTTGCTTGAGAAAGAATTCAAATTAGTTGTTTTGAAGAAGTGAGCTTCCAGAAAACACAGAAAGACACCTCAGCGAAATCAGGAAAACAATATGTAAAACAAGAAGTTTAACAGAGAGATGGAAATCATAAGAACAAAAAAAAGAACCAAAGAGGAATTGGGGAGCTGAAGAATACAATGAATGAAATGAAAATAATGCAGTAGAAAGCATCAGCAGTAGAAAGAAACAGAACAAAAGACTCTATGAACTTGAAGACACGTAATTTATAATTATAAAGTCAGAAGAGAAAAAAGTAAAAAGAATGAAGAAAAAGTGAAGAAAGCCTATGTGAATTATGGGGTATCATCAAGTGAAACAATGCATATGCATTAGAGGAGTCACAGAAGGACAAAGAGGGAGAAAAGGACAGAAAGCTTGTTTAAAGAAATAATGGCTGACAGTTTTCCAAATCTGGGGAGAGAAATGAGCATCAAAGTTCATGAAGCCTATAATTCCCCATGTATTTTCAACCCAAAGAGTACTTCACTGAGACACATTATAATAAAATGTCTAAAGTCAAAGACATGGATAATTTTATAATTTTGAAAGCAGCAAGAGACAAAAAACTCCTATGTCAAAGGAACACCCATCAACCTATCAGTGGATTTCTCAGGAAAACCTTATAGGCTGGGAGGAGAGTAGGTTGATATATTCAGTCCTTAAAGGAAAAAAATACCAAGTAAAAATACTATACCCAGCAAAGCCGTCCTTCCAAAATGAAGGAGAGACAAAGACTTCCACAGACAAACAAAAGCTGAGGGAGTTCATTACAAGACCTGCCTTCCAGGAAATGCTGAAATTAGTTCTTTACGCTGAAATGAAAGGATGCAAACATGAAAATATAAAACACTGATAAAGCAAGTGTATAGTCAAATTCAGGCACTGTAATAATGTAGATCACTTTACCACAAAAGTTAAAGGACAAAAATATTAATAATAACTATAGCTATGACATTTTTAAATGGATATACAATATAGAATATGTAAATTGTGACATTAGAAACAAAATGTTGAAGGGAGTAGAGTTTTTGTATGAGGTCAGAGTTAACTTATCAGCTTAAAATAGAATGTTATATGTTATATAAACCACAAGGGAAAAACTTATAGTAGTATTCAAGCAATTTTTAAAAAGGAACCAAAGTGTACCAATACAGAAAATCATCAGATTACAAGGGAAGACAGCAAAAGAGGTAGAAAGAAAATATAAAACAACCAGAATATGAATAAGATGACATGTGTAAGACCTTACATATTAGTAAGTACTTTAAATTTAAGTGGATTATCAAACCAAAAGAAATAGAGTGATTGAATGGATAAAAAAACAAGACCTAACTATATGCTGCTAACAAGAGACTCATGTCAGCTTTAATGGTCTGCTGAAAGTGAAAGAGCTGAAAGTGAAGAGATGGAAAAAATAACATTTGATGCAAATGAAAACCAAAATAGAACAGGGATGGATATACTTATGAAGAAATACACTTCAACTTCAAAAACTTTAAGAAGAGACAAAGATGGTTATTATGTAATGATAAAGGAGTTAGTTCATCAAGAGGAAATAACAAATATATACATGTACCCAGAGCAGTTAGGGAAGAAAAAGAAATAAAAGCTATCCAGATCAGAAAGAAAAAGTGAAATTGTTTCTGTTTGCAGGTGACATGATCTTCTATACAGAAAACCCTAAAGATCCTGCCAAAAAATTGTTAAAACTGATGAACAAATTCAGTACAAAATTAATATACAAAAATCAGTTGTGTTTCTATAGACTAACAGTAAACTATTGGAGAAAGAAATTAAGAAAACAATTCCATTTATAATAGCATCAAAGAAAAGTCCTTAGGAATAAATTTAATCAAGGAGGTGAAAGACCTATATGCTGAAAATTATAAGACATTGATAAAAGAATTGAAGAAGATGCAGATAAATGGAACAATATCCCATTATTGTGGATTAGAAGTATTAATGTTGTTAAATATTGTTATGTTGTTATGAATATTGAATATGAAATGTTGTTAAAATATTCATAGTTCCCAAAGAGATCTATAGATAATGTAAAAAAAATAAACAAAAAACCTAAAATTTGCATGGAACTACGAAACAACCAGAATAGCAATAGCAGTCTTCCGAAAGAACAAAGCTGGAGGTATCACACTTCTGATCTCAGAATATATTGCAGAGGTATAGTAATCAAAACAATATGGTACTGGCATGAAAAGAGACACATAGCAGAATGGGACAGAATAGAGAGCCCAGAAATAAACCTAGCATAAATGGTTAATAATCCTTGACCAAGGGAACAAGAACACACAGCAGAGAAAAATCATCTCTTCAATAAATCATATTGGGAAAACTGGAGAGTCATATGCAAAAGAATGAAACTGGACCCCTATCTTATACCACTCTCAAAAATTAACCCAAAATTGATTAGAGACTTTAAATGTAATGCCTGAAACCATGAAACTGTAAGGAGAATACATAGGGGTAAAGCTCCTTGACACAGGTCTTGGCAATGGTTATTTGTATACCCAAAGCTTAGGCAACAAAAGAAAAAATAAACAAGGAGGACTACATCAAACTAAAAGGTTCTGCACAGCAAGGGAAGCAGTTAATAAAAAAGGTAGCTCACAGAACGGGAGAAAATATTTGCAAACCATATTTATGCTAAAGGGTCAGTATCCAAAATATACAAAAAATTTATACAACCCAATAGTAAAGATGATGATGATGATCATCATCATCCAATTTAAAAAATGGGCCAAGGACCAAAGAAGGCAAATCAAGACCATAATGAGATACCACCTCACACCTGTTAAGATGGCTTTTATTAAAGATAGAAGAGATGACAAATGTTGGCAAGGATGTGGAGAAAGGGGAACCCTAGTACACTTTTGGTGAGAATGTAAATGTAAAAAATTAAAAATAGAACTACCAGATAATCCAGCAATTCTACTTCTGGGTATTTTTCCAAAGGGAGAAAACTTAACTCGAAAAGATACATGCACCCCTGTGTTCATTGCATCATTCACAATAGCCAAAACATGGAAACAACCTTAGTATCCACCAATGGTTGAATGGATAAAGAAGTTGTGGTATCTTTATCTATTTCTATCTATATTTACATGTACATGTACATCTGTGTCTATACCTACATCTAGGTGGATGTAATGAAACATTAGTCAGCCACGAGAAAGAACACAATCCTGTCATTGGTGACAACATGGGTGGTCCTAGAGGACATTATGCTAAGTGAAATAAACCAGACAGAACCATGATCTCACATATATATGAATTCTTAAATGAACTCACAGAAACAGAGTTGAATGGTGATTACCACAGGTTGCGGGGTGGGAAAAATGGGAGAGATGGTGGTCAAAGAGTACAAACCTTCAGTTACAAGATACACCAGTTTCTTAGATCTAATGTACAGCATTGTGACTAAAGTTCATAATGCTGTATTGTATACTTGTAATTTGCTAAGAGAGTAGATCTTAAGTGTTCTCATCACACACATTAAATAAATGGTATGTGAGGTAATGGATTTGTTAACCTGATTGTGGTAATATTTTCACAATGCATAAATATATCAAAGCACTCTGTTGTACACTTACATATACAATGTTGTCACTTATACCTTAATAAAACTAGGGGGAAACAAACAATAAACTAAGACACAGTTTCTTTCAAAGACCAGGATATCCCAGTGCTACTCTTTTTGTGGGACTACATCAAAATAAAAAGCTTCTACACAGCAAAGGAAACGGTCAACAAAACCAAAAGACAACGTACTGAATGGGAGATATTTGCAAATGACTTATCTGATAAAGGGATAGTATCCAAAATATGTCAAGAATTTACACAACTCATGGCACCTGGGTGGCTCAGTCAGTGAAGCGTCTGCCTTCGGCTCAGGTCATGATCCCAGGGTCCTGGGATCAAGCCCCGCACTGGGCTCCCTGCTTGATGGGGAGCCTGCTTCTCCCTCTTCCTCTGCTGCTCCCCCTGCTTGTGCTCTCTCTGACAAATAAATAAATAAAATATTTTTTTTAAAAAAGAATTTACACAACTCAACACCAGATAAACAAATTGTCCAATTAAAAATGGGCAGAAGACATGAAGAGACATTTCTCCAAAGAAGACATACAAATGGCCAACAGACACATGAAAAAATGTTCAACATCACTTGGCATCAGGGAAATACAAATGAAAACCACAATAAGATACCACCTCACACCTGTCAGAATGGCTGAAATGAACAACTCAGATAACAACAGATGTTGGCAAGGATATGGAGAAAGGGGAACCCTCTGCACTGCTGGTGGGAATGCAAGCTGGTGCGGCCAATCTGGAGAACAGTTAGGAGGTTCCTCAAAAAGTTAAAAATAGAGCTACCCTACGACCCAGCAGTTGCACTACTAGGTATTTATCCAAAGGATACAAAGATACAGATTTGAAGGGGTACACGCACCCTGATGTTTATAGCAGCATTATTGATAATAGCCAAACTATGGAAAGAGCCCCAATGTCCATCAACTGATGGATGAATGGATAAAGAAGATGTGGTATATAATGTCCTGAAGGTTACCAGGGGGAAGTGGGCAGGGGAGGGTGGATGAAGCAGGCGATGGAGATTAAGGAGTGCACTTGTTGTGATGAGCGTTGAATAACGTATAGAATTCTTGAATCACTATATTGTACACCTGAAACAAATATAACACTGTACCTTAACTATACTGGAATTTAAAAATAATAAAATTTAAAAAATAAAATAATAAAAAAAGAACAGGAAATCTCAGTGTTACTTTTTTTCTTTGCTACTTTTAAACTGTTTCAGAGGTAGGAAAATAAGGAATACTTCCTATTATCTTATGAAACAAGGATGATACTGGTACCAAAACTGACATAAAGATTTACTTAAAAAATATACCACAGCTCAGTCTCACTTACTAATTATTAGTTTGGTAGTTATAATGCTATAATGCTATTTTGGCTTTATATATTTTAGATATTCATACTGAAGTATTCAAGGGCAGAATGTTAGGATGACTTTTTAAAAAAATATTTTGCCTATCATTTACTTTAAAATATTTAAGCACTGGGGCGCCTGGTTGGCTCAGTTGGAAGAGCATGTGACTCTTGATGTCATGGTTGAGAGTCCGAGCCCCACGTTGGGTGTGGAGATTACTTAAAAATAAATAAATTAATTAAAAAAAGACCTGGCTAACATTTAAAAAAATAAATAGGGTGCCTGGGCTGCTCAGTCAGTCAAGCATCCCAGTCTTGATTTTGGCTCAGGTCATGATCCCAGGGTTGTGAGAGTGAGCCCCACACTGGGCCCTGTGCTGGACATGGAGCCTGCTTGAGATTCTCCCTCTGCCTCTCCCCCCCTAAAATTAATTATTTAATTAATTAAAATATTTAAGCATTGAATACATATATAACTATAGGTTTTAGGGTTCATAGGCTGACCACATCATCATTCTATTTTTTAAGGATTTCTGAGTCAATCATGAGGTACTTATTTGTAAACCTTTTAAAATGAGTATGTTTGAAATTTCTAGGTACCTTTAGCTTGCTTTCTTTATGTTTGTAATTTCAATTTCTTCAATACAAAAACAACTTAAATACAGGACCTCATAAATAATTCCTATGGAAGGATACTTTACCAAGGCTTACAAATATGGTACTTTTATATTTGTCTGACTTAAACAACTTTCAAGAAATGAATAATGAGGGCACCTGGGTGGCTCAGTTGGTTAAGCCACTGCCTTCGGCTCAGGTCATGATCCCGGAGTCCCGGGATCGAGTCCCACATCAGGCTCCCTGCTCGGCAGGGAGTCTGCTTTTCCCTCTAACCCTACTCCCTCTTGCGCTCTCTCTCTCACTCTCTCTCTCTCTCAAATAAATAAATAAAATCTTTAAAAAGAAAAAAGAAATGAGAAAAGGACTTTTCAAATATAGGTAGAGAGAGAGAGGTTAAGCATTTGAAAAGGAAGTAGGATACTCTGAAATAGAGAATTAAAGGACAAAAAAAACCCCTACCTATTTAGAGAAATTTAAAAACACAGTGCCTAGCAGAACATAGATGGTGAACCATGCATGCTGTGTTGTACACGTGAAAGTGCTGTAATATTGTGTGTCAGGTATATGCAAGTGAAACAATTAAAACAACATAAAGTAAAAAGCAAAATGAAAAATAATAGAAGTGAGAGTAGGATATTAGACAAAGAACATAATATTAGAGAATCCCAATTCAAACATGAATAAATGTTCTGTTTGGCCTTTTCACCATCATATCATTTTCTTCAATACTTTCTCTGCAATATATTTTATTAAGTATATATTTATACAGTTGTTTGTTTTTTGTTTTTTTTTTACTTAGCCATCATAGTGACTGGAGTCCAGGAATAATAGCAGGCTTCTTTCAGAAGCTGTGTAGGTCATCGTCTGTAGATTTTCAGGAAAAAAACCCTTTCTGGTTCACTCAAGTGTCTGGATTTGTTCTTTAAAATAGGAAGGTTACAGGGCACCTGGGTGGCTCAGTGGGTTAAGCACCCAACTCTTGGTTTCAGCTCAGGTCGTGATCTCAGGGTCGTGAAATTGAGCCCCGCATGGGGCTCACGCTCAGCTCAGAGTCTGTGCTCTCCCTCAATAGTAAATAAATAAAATCTTTAAGATAGGAAGGTTGCATAGGTGATAGACTCTGTCTTCTGTGTCTGTTACCTTACTCTGCATCATACGGCTATCCCATAAACCGTGAGTTGACTCACTGGTTGGTTGTTCATTTGGATAGCTTGGTCACTAAAGAAAATTGAAAACTTGTGAGAAATAGAAAAATTAGAAAGAAAGGGGTGTACAATTTAGAAAGTAGTGATTTAATTTGGAAATGATTATATGAGAAGTAAAAAGAAAAGGATCCAAGTTAGCTTCAAATACAGTGGAGAAGGAATAAAATCTTGAAATGAGCGTACAGAAAATGGGAATGTTTGGGAAGTCTTAATGTTTTATTTACCTTGTCTAGGATGTACCGAATCACTGTAACAAAGCAACTAGCAAGATAATGGATTTCAACTTGGTTTAAGCTTTTTCTACCCTGAGGGCTTTTCTTTGTCTCTGTTTTTTAAAGATGTATCAGATGTAACTTGTTTGATGATGCCCCTTCAGAAACTTAGGGTTTATGTAAGTTTTTCATGTGATCATAAAACAATGTCCCGAAGGTGGAAAAAGAAAGGTAATGATGCTTTTCTTTGGGGCCGGGGGGGCATTTTCCAGGCATAGCCCTTTTGTACCTGCAGCTGTATCGGGTCACGGGTGACCAGACCCACCTGCTCCGGTCCCTGGATTACGTCAAGAGAACACTTCGGAACCTGAATGGCCGCAGGGTCACTTTCCTCTGCGGAGACGCCGGACCCCTTGCTGTAGGAGCTGTGGTGTATCACAAACTCAGAAGCGACTGTGAGTCCCAGGAATGCATCACAAAGTGAGTTTTTCAAACTGGAAGTATTTTTTCTAAATTCTCAATTCAAGGTCTTACTGTAGAAAGACATTCAAAAAGGAAATTATTTTTTAATTCGTCTGCTGTTGCCAGCGGATCTTTCCAAGAAGTGAAGGAGGTTTGTATGTTAACGCTGAGCATAATGAGAAGATCATATGCCTCCTTTCTATCCAAGCTTGTGTCTGCCTTAATCTGGGGAGAGATAGACCTGTTTCTTCGTGTGACTTTACTCTTTTTCCTAAATAATTTCTGGTTGCCTTCACTGCATGAAAGTTAGCTTGTATCTGTGCCTTAGATTCACTATCCTAAGTTATTTTTTAGGTTCATTTGTTTTGGAACAGTTAGAGAGTATAAAACTTTTATTGCACCTTTTGGTTTATATTCTTTTTCGAAGAGGTAGAAATCAGGGCCTACTCCCGTGGTCTGGTGGAGTGTCTGGCACACGCTAGTTAGTTGATGTTTGCTGAAAGATAGAATGAGTCAAGCTAATTCCCAAACATTGACTACATTTTAGTACTATTTCTTTTAATTTCTTTTAAATTAAGTGTAATTTCAAAAAAATTTTTAAAAGTAAATTAAGTTTAATTTATTTTAAAATTTCTTTTAAATTTTAAATCATTCTCTTCTAATTCTTATTTCAAAATTGAGTATCATCTCTTACAAGGTTTAGACTAGGTATCAAGGTAGATATTCTGAACAGGAAGGTGTGTTGTTTTTAATGTGCTATCTGAGGGAAATTAGTGTAGTGGAGAAGATTTTATTGTTTGGGTTTTGTTTGTTTGTATTTCTTAGAATCAGTTTTTTTTTTTTTTAAAGATTTTATTTATTTATTTGAGAGAGAGAGAATGAGAGACAGAGAGCAGGAGAGGGAGGAGGGTCAGAGGGAAAAGCAGACTCCCTGCTCAGCAGGGAGCCCAATGTGGGACTCGATCCCGGGACTCCAGGATCATGACCTGAGCTGAAGGCAGTCGCTTAACCAACTGAGCCACCCAGGCGCCCTCTTAGAATCAGTTTTAAATTAAAAATAAGTAACAGGTTATTTCTAAACTGATAGGGTTACTAACAGTTTCAGAAAGAGGAATTTCACACATTCTCCAGGAAAACAGAATTTTTCTTGTTGGGTAGACTTTTGCAGCTCCAGAGAACCATCGTGTGCCGAGATTCAGAGCTTCCCGATGAGCTGCTTTATGGTCGGGCGGGTTATCTGTATGCCTTACTCTACCTGAACACGGAGATTGGTCCAGACACCGTGTGTGAGTCAGCCATTAAAGAGGTACTGTGGGCTTGCCGTCAGCCATGGGCGTCCTGTCATCTCTACCATCCCAACCTGTCTGTCAGCACAGGGCTACGGTAGGGGCTGGACTCTTCTTCTGGGTATGAGTAATTTCTTCAGGCATCTCATAAAAGCGATAAATAGCTCCTTTTTTTTTCCTTTCTAGGAATGTTTTTTTTTTTAATCTGTCCTCCTCTTAGGCCTATTAATTTACCTGTTTCTACTAGTACCAAACAACAGCAGCTTCAAAAAGGTAGAATCTTTATTTCTCTTTCCTAAAGCATCTGAACTGGTAGGCAGTCACAGTGAATATGGCTAAGGATCTGGGTTCTTCTCTGGTCTTCTCCCATATCCTAGGGGCGTGCCCTCATCTGCATCCCCAAAGCTAATCGAGCACCCCCAGGCTCAAGACAGGGGAGGAAGTAGAGGATAAGCAGCTCCTTTTTTTTCCTTTTTCTTTTTCTTTTTTTTTTAAGGCCACGATCCAGAAGTGGTCTACTTCACTTCTGCTCACATCCTACTTCCAGAACTTAGTCAAAGGACCGTGTCTTTCTGTAGCTGAGAGGCCAGACGCCCCGCCAAAACTTAGAGCACTGTTACCAAAAGTGTGGAAGGAGAAAGGATATGAGGGAACAATGTGTCTTTGCTACATAGTCATTACAGATATGATATTCTTTTGATTTAACTAAAATCTGCATGCCACAAGAGACCTCATTTCATTAGCCTTTCATAAATAAGGCTAAATTCCTCCAGCCTTTCCTAGATGTACTGCCAGTCTTTTGGAGAAAACATTGCAGTTACAAGGGAACTAAGTAGTCTAGGATAGTTTTTATAGGAAGTTTTTCTAGATTCTAGTAAACTGTTCATACAGAGGACTTTTAACGTCGTGGTTTGACTTCCTAATTTCTTCTTCTCTTCTGATTTCTCTCTGCCTGTATTTATTAATTTATAAGCTAAAGATTAACGGTGGTGGCTACTGCCTGCTTCTAGATTTTTAGGTTAAGAAATCTATATAGAAGTGTTAGTGTTAATTAGACGAAAACAGGATACACGTAATTCTTTAGGCCAGCGCTGTCTCCTCACCCCCGTAGGTAGTCGGCGCTATCATCGAGTCAGGCAAGACTCTGTCGAGGGAAGAAAGGAAGGCCGAGCGCTGCCCGCTGCTCTACCAGTGGCACAGGAAGCAGTATGTTGGAGCAGCGCACGGCATGGCCGGGATCTACTACATGCTAATGCAGGTAAGGAAGGGTGCTCGGAAACCCTAATACAGTGCCTCCAGTATTACATACTCGGCCAGAGAGGAAAGGGGGGCTGAAATTTTAGTGTAAGTCGCGCAGGCTGAAATAAAATAAGGATCCTACATTGAATCGTGGGTACTTAAGCTCTGCTTCATGAACCCCAAGCACTGAAGTGCTGAGAGCACTTTTTTTTTTTAATGTGAGAGAGCGCGAGCAGAATGGGGACGGGTAGGGTCAGAGGGAGAAGCAGGTTCCCCGCCGAGCAGGGAGCCCGATGCGGGACTCGATCCCGGGACTCCCGGATCATGACCTGAGCCGAAGGCAGTCGCTTAACCAACCGAGCCACCCAGGCGCCCTAAGAGCACATTGTACATGCGGTTTTGTACTGGGTTAGGTGTCTAGTGGCCACATTTTCCTTCGGTCCATGTCCTTCTGCTCATTGGAGTCGTTACTCTTTGAACAGAGGGGAACCCTCAGGGAGCAGAAAGGGCCTCCAGAATCCCTACTGAGGCAGAGACTTTTTCCTATTCAGATACCCCCAGCTTGCTTTCGGTTGTGTTCTAAACTTTCAACTAGTTTATTGTTGTGGTTCTGATCTGGTCTCTCAGTCATGCCTGACGTCGCTTGAACTGAGTAGTCCCCGCTCTGTCAGGCAGGCAGAGACCGCCCCCCCAAATAGTGCTTCAGCCAGCTTCCGGCCTTATGGCCTGTGGTGCCCTTCCCTGCTGCGTACACAGCCTTTTTTTTTTTTCCCCCCAATTAAGCCTTTCTTTATCGACCACACCCATAACAGAGTAGTTAATGCTCAAAAATCACAAAGCTAGCAAGTCAAGGAGCATGGATTAGCATTTAGGTTAAAACTTCTTCACTAAAAGCTAAAAATTTTTACTTCAAATCCCCTTTTTAAACCTACTCTACCATTAAAGGAGATTCATATCTAAACGGGCCTAAAACCCCCTTTTCTGGTAATTAGTTGTCTTTGTTTATTGTTGTAGAAAGCGAAACATATGTATCCCAATTTGTGAATTTTCTTTATAGTGCAGACACATGTTTTCAAAGTAACTAGAAGTCCATCTCTTTTTTTAAAATAGCACTATTATTCTGGAAAGTTGGTAGTTTGTCTCTGTTTTCTGTTTCCCCAAGAAAATGTTTTAACACCAGCTTTTGAAACTTGGCTTAGGGGAACATTAACCATATGAAAACCACACCAATAAGACCTAACCTTAAAGTTTAGATGTAGGTGTTGAGGTTAATTTTGTTAGATATCCGGGGTTTCCTTGAGAGAAACACAAGTCCCCAAGGTTGTGCCCTTTATCTGCCTTTAAAGTGAAGAACGTGCAACTATGAAACCCAACTTCCCTGATGAGACTAGGAGACCATCCGGAGGCCCAGACTACGAACAGGTAGACTGAGACTAGAGGGCAGAATGGCAAACGACCAGACAGGGTGGAGAAGAGCACATGCGAGCCCGCCGGAGCTGAACATGCCGGTACCGCGGAAGGGGAGCCCGGCCGGGTGCGCTCGGGGCAGGACGTGTGGGCGCAGGAGGGCTGCGCTCGAAACCTTCAGCCGGAGCGGCTGGGTCTCCATCAGGAGGGTCGCCCTGCCCCGTGACTGTTCCTCCCTAACTGCTGCTGGAGCGAGCCGGCCTCAAAGGCCACAGGGTGCTGGGCGCGCCCTTCCTGCCCCCATGGCGGAATCGCGCCCCCCCATCCCCCTTTGGTCTCACCACCGACATTCCAGGAGGGCGATTGACGTGGGGCTGTTGTCTGTTGTTGTATGTTGGAGAAACAACTCAGATAAAAGATTGACAGACGTAGGTATTTTAAAGCCCCCATTAAAAATGTGAGCTAGCTCTCGGTGATGGTTAATATTAGATATTAATTTGGCTGGGCCACAGCGCCCAGGTATGTGGTCACACATTTTTCTGGGTGTTTCTGTGAGGACATTTTGGGTGAGATTTACACTTAAATGGTGTTAGAAGGTGGGGGAGGGACAGGAAAGTCTCCCCCGACTGAGAAGACACTTCGAGACCAGAAAACGAAGCAGGCCACTCCATAGAGTTTACACAGAGTTTTATTCGGGGTACCTTACTGATGGGGGGGATCGGGCAGAGGATGATCTACAGCCGCTGCATAGTTATTCTCTGCAAAGTCCAGACCTTAGCCCCTAGATATTGTAGAGCGAGGGGACATGCAGAAGGGCATTGTAGTGAGATCAGAGCGTTCGCACACACCTCGGAGGGCTTGCAGGCACCTAATTGACAGCTACCCTTTAATGAGATCTTGTGGCCCCAGCTGTGCATCAGGAAGGGGCAAGACTATGTTATCTCTGACAGATTCATGAGAGGCCAAAACAGGCCTCCCCCCCCATTCCTGCCTTGACCGGCATTTCTAAGGTATGTATGTCATTCTCCAAGGGGCCCGGAACACATAGCCACAAGAGAGGCCACTGAGCAAACATGAACAAGATGGAGGGCCAAAGATGAATCATCATTGTCAGCACTCTTACAAATGCTTGGGCTTTTAGTAAAGCAGTTTCTCCTCCATAATGTGGCTGGGCCTCATTGAGTCAGTTAAAGGCCTGCCCTGAGCAAGAGGGAATTCTCCAGCAGATGGCCTTCAGACGTCATCTTCAACATCACAACAAGTTGAAATAAAACAAGGTCTGCCCAAGTCTTAAATAACCAGATAAGTGAATTAATTTGAATTTTATATGTTTCTCAGTATTCCAGGTAATGGATGCTTTGCCATATTAGCTATAGTACAAAGGCTTAAAAAAAACACAATCAAGTCAAAAAATGGGCAGAAGACATGAACAGACACTTCTCCAAAGAAGACATACAAATGGCTAACAGACACATGAAAAAATGTTCATCATCATTAGCCATCAGGGAAATTCAAATCAAAACCACATTGAGATACCACCTCACACCAATTTGAATGGCAAAAATTGACAAGTCAAGAAACAACACATGTTGGAGTGGCTGTGGAGAAAGGGGAACCCTCTTACACTGTTGGTGGAAATGCAAGTTGGTACAGCCACTTTGGAAAACAGTTATGGAGGTTCCTCAAAAAATTAAAAATAGAGCTACCCTATGACCCAGCAATTGCACTCCTGGGTATTTACCCCAAAGACACAGATGTAGTGAAAAGAAGAGCCATATGCACCCCAATGTTCATAGCAGCAATGTCCGCAATAGCCAAATTGTGGAAAGAGCCGAGATGTCCTTCAACAGATGAATGGATGAAGAAGATGTGGTCCATGTATACAATGGAATATTACTCATCCATCAGAAAGGATGAATACCCAACTTTTACATCAACATGGATGGGACTGGAGGAGATTATGCTTGAAATAAGTCAAGCAGAGAAAGTCAATTATCATATGGTTTCACTTATTTGTGGAACATAAGGAATAGCATGGAGGACACTAGGAGAAGGAAGGGAAAAATGAGGGGGGGGAATCAGAGCGGGAGACGAACCATGAGAGACTATGGACTCTGAGAAACAAACTGAGGGTTCTAGAGGGGAGGGGGGTGGGGGGATGGGTTAGCCCGGTGATGGGTATTAAGGAGGGCACGTACTGCATGGAGCACTGGGTGTTATACGCAAACAGTGAAGCGTGGAACACTACAACAAAAACTAATGATGTATGGTGACTAACATAATAAAATAAAATTTTTAAAAAAACGTAAGGAAAACTAAATGTTTTGGGTTTTTTTCATTTGTTTAAAGCCAGCAGCAAAAGTGGACCAAGAAACCTTGACAGAAATGGTGAAACCTAGTATTGATTATGTGCGCCACAAAAGATTCCGATCTGGGAATTATCCGTCATCATTAAGCAATGAAACAGATCGCTTGGTCCACTGGTGCCATGGTGCGCCCGGTGTCATCCACATGCTTATGCAAGCTTACAAGGTCAGTACCTCCAGTTGATCACAAGCATTTAATGTTTAGAAATCCACTTTTTTCCACCAGGTTCTCATTTTGATTTTGGCCAGCACATGTGATGGCAAACTAAAAACCTTTTCAAATCAATGTTTTTACAAAATAAAATCTCCCTGTTTCACTTTATCACCCCTGTAGTTGGAGCTATAAGGGTCTGTATGTGTATTTTAACAGGGATTATATTCATATGTAAAAAGGAAACCTGGGGGACAGCATAGTAATGATTTTTATTCTGCGTGTGAATATCCGAGAAGGCAGTAGGCATTATTATAACTAAACGCTTTTTTGTTTGACTTCACATCATTTTATGTTCTTGGTTGAATAAGTCTTTATTGTTGGATGATGATGTTTATTTGGGGCCCTTTAAGTTTGAGTTTAAAATTGTTACAAAATTACTCATAAGGGAGAAGTGTGATGTTCAAAGTTTTACACATATGGGGTATTATAGAAAAATAGGCAGTCCCTTTACTGAATAATTCTGGTAGTCTCAAGATAATATTTGGGCACAATATTAAGAATGCATTCGATTGAAAGCAAACAATGCTTCTTTTTTTTTTTTTTTTTTTAGGTTGTCTTTAAATGTGTTTTCTCTTTCTTTAAGAAGAGAGAGAGAGAAAGCGAGCATGAGAGGGGGGAGGGTCAGAGAGAGAAGCAGACTCCCTGCTGAGCTGGGAGCCTGATGGGGGGGACTCGATCCTGGGACTCCAGGATCATGACCTGAGCCGAAGGCAGTCACTTTAACCAGCTGAGCCACCCAGGCGCCCCGTAAAGGCGTTCTCTTACTATTTTACTAAATAGAAGTTGAAATTACAAACAGCTTACTGTAGCCTATAACATTTAAGTTTTTTAACATTTTTTGGAAAAATAATTCACGTTTAAAGAAAACAGTGTTTTCAAGCAAGTTTTTTAGAAGACTATACCACATTTGGTTTTATTTTTTAAATTTCTTATTTGAGGGCACCTGGGTGGCTCAGTCGGTTAAGCGTCAGCCTTTGGCTCAGGTCCTGATCCCGAAGTCCTGGGATTGAGCCCCGCGTTGAGCTCCCTGCTGAGCAGGGAGTCTGCTTCTCCCTCTGCCTCTGCCCCTCCCCTCAGGCTCACTCTCTCTCTTAAATCAATAAATAAAATCTTAAAAAAAAAGTTTTTATTTGAATGCAGTTGACACACAATGTTGTATTAGTTTCAAATGCACAACATAGTGCTGCCCCAATTTACACATTATGCTGTGACCACGAGTGTAACCACCGTCTGTCACCATCTGTCACCATGCAACACTACTACGGTATCATTAACTATATTCCTTATGCTCTTTTATTCCTGTGACTTATTCATTCCATAGCCTGTTATCTCCTACTCCCTTCACCCATTTTGCCCAACCCCCCCAACAACCATCAGTTTGTTCTCTGTATTTACAGGTATGAGTCTGCTTTTTGTTTGTTTCTTCATTTTCCTGTTTTAGATTCCACATATGAATGAAATCTTATGGTATTTGCCTTTTTCAGTCTGACTTATTTCGCTTAGCATAATACCGTCTTGGTCCACCCATGTTGTACCAAATGGCATGATCTCATCCTTTTTTATGGCCGAGTAATATATTACAAACACACACACACACACACACACACACACACACACCACATCTTATCCATTTGTCTGTCAATGCACATTCAGGTTGTTTCCCTATCTTAGCTATTATAAATAATGCTGCAATAAACAGGGGTGCATGTATCTTTTTGAATTAGTGTTTTTGTTTTCTTTGGGTAAACACCCAGTAGTCAAATTAATGGATCATATGTTATCTCTATTTTTAAATTTTTGAGGAACCTCCATACTGTTTTCCACAGTGGCTGAACCAATTTTCATTCCCATCAATAGTGTGCACGGGTTCCTTTTTTTTCACATCCTCTCCAACACTTGTGATTTCTTGTGTTTTTGATTTTAGCCATTCCAGCAGGTGTGAGATGATATCTCATTATGATTTTGATTTGTACTTCCCTGCTGACTAGTGCTGTTGAATATCTTTTCACTGTCTGTTAGCCGTCTGTATGTCTTCTTTGCAAGAATGTCTATTCAGGTCCTCTGCCCATTTTTTAATTGGATTGTAAATAATGCTTCTTTTGTAATTTTATCTTTTTAATGCATCTTTATTTGTAATATTTGATTTTGGAGGTTGTTCTTCATATATCAAAGTATATAACAGTAACCACATGATTGATTAGTGTTTTGGCAAAGTCTCTTAGTTTTGTAGAAATAGATAGAATTAATGAAGCAGAATTCGTATTTCTACCTAGAAATAACAAAAGAACTAATCCCGGAATCAATTTTATTTTCCCTTTGTGACTAACCATAATAATTTACATAAATTGTGGGGAATCTCATGATTTTGCCTAATTTTTCAGAATTTTTTAGTCCTCCAAGAGTAACACCTAAAATATTCAAATATAAAAGTCAGGTATGAGCATTTAAGAAAATAACTCAGAAAGTTATGATAAAAAGAAAAAGCATAATGAAATATACTCTTTGGAAATCAAAAGAATTTAAGGTTTCATCTTCTTAACAATACCTCAGTCTTTATTTTTATTTTGATTTTTTTTTTAAGATTTTATTTATTCATTTAAGAGAGAGAGAGCACGAGGAGGGGGAGGAGCAGAGGGAGGAGCAGACTCCCCGGTGAGCAGGGAGCCCGATGCAGGGGCTCGATCCCAGGACACTGCGATCATGACCTGAGCTGAAGGCAGTCGCTTAACCAACTGAGCCACCCAGGCGCCTAATACCTCAGTCTTTAAATAAAATAAAATTCTGTTCAAATCAGTGCCTCCCTTTTTTAGAGCCTTAGAATGATGTAACTTCAGTGACATCGAGATAAGTCTCTAATATTGTAATTGTCCAACCATGACGAGTATACTGTTGACAAACAAGGACCCTTTGATATTTAAAACAGATGTATGACTTTGAGAAAAAGTGAAAGCTTTTGTTTGCCGGGCGCCTTTTTCTCTTTCACATTAAAGAGGGCAAGCAGTGCAGGTGGGCCCTCCTGGTGGCTGACGGTCTCGGCTTCTGAGGGTCCCGTCCGGCCCCCCGTCTGACCCGCTCCCCGAGAGAGCGGTAAACAGGTAATCGGGAGCCAGGACGTCCAATGGGGCCATCAGCCTAGGGAGATCCCTTTCTCCTAGCCCCGTTGGCTATCACGCCGTCTGTTTCTACGGCCGCTGGTCACACGGGGAGCACACAGAGCACCCATAGCAGAGCCCTGCTCTCGGTAAACCACAGATGCCTCCCAGCAGCTGCTGCCTATCCGGCTTTGGCTCAGAATATCATTGGAATGTCTGTCCCTGCCTTCTTCCGAAACAGCAAGTTCCCTCTTCTCTTAAGCATAGAGCAAAGACATTACGATCCCGTACTTAGTCACTAAAACTTAATTTTGTCCATTTACATCAAGATTCTCAAACATGAGGAAGGCAAGGAGTAGAATCTTTGGGGGCAGAAGGCCTCAATGGTAACTTGAAAAGGCATATATGATAGAGTTTTACAATATATGAGTGAAGTGTGAGATTGGTGTTTGGCCAAGGCGGAGGGTGGGGTGGGCAGAGACAGGGTAGGGGGTGGGGTGGAAATGCAAAGGTCGAGGGTCCATTTTCTCTCAAGTTATTGTTAACTCAAAATAAGAGCATCTGCATTCATTGAGGCTGTCTCAGAATTAGGAAGTGCTTGCATTTTATATAAGTTTTCAACATTTTCTCTTGCTGGCATGTGAACTCATATAAGTTCTTCAAGAATGCTGATGAAAGCATAAGGTTTTCAGGTGTTTGCAAAAAATATTAATATCTTTCACAAAGAAGACTATAAATTGAGTTTAGTTTCACTTAATTTGCTTTCCCTTCCTAGAGATGCTCATCATATGTGTTAGTTGGGTGGACTCTACTTTGTATGAACATACACTGTTAATTTAAAATTATATTGTATTCTAGATGATCCTTGAAAAATGTCAGGGTTTTAATAATATTCTGTGCTATATTAGGAATTATATTACTTGCAAATGATTTTCTAGCAGATTACATTTGTGGACCCTGTGGCTGGAAGCTATTTTGCTGAGCAGTTCTTGATTATCTGACAGTAGACTACAAGCGATGGTAACCAGTTCTACCTTCTAACTACACACATGGGCCCTCCAGCATTAGCAGTATGTGGATTCAGCCACTGTAAACAGATGCTAACACTGGTCAAATGAAAATTGTATTTGGGAAGGTATTTACAAATATGTGGCCCAGGAAAACCATGTAAGTCATACCAAAGTGATATCGATGTAATCTTTTGATTCCTTAAAGTAGGAAACCACCACGCCTTATGCTCTCCGATGGTCAGCCGTTGACCAGACATCAGAAAATGTTTTCATATAAACGGTGTTCCAAAAGCTCATTTGTAAGTTGATTATTTGAAACATGGCATATCTTGAAGGAGTGCATATCAGAATCAGCTGGAGAGATTCTTTCAAATTATACTTTCTTTCCTTCTTCCTCAAGGTGGTTGATACCTTCCTGAGTGTAAGCATCCCTTATATAAATCTACCGCTTTATCAGTTTTTTTTCCAGTTGTTTCTAGTTTTTTACTCTTATGAATAAGCTGCTATGAACATTCTTGTACAGGTCTTTTTGTAGACATGTGTTTTCATTCCTTTTGGGCCAGTACCTCGGAGTAAAATTGCTGGATCAGAAAGTAAGTGTAAGAAACTGCCAGACATCTTCACAAAGTAACAGCTGTCATACCTTTTACTTTCCATCAACAATGTAAGAGAGTTCACATCTTTGGCAACACGTGGTACTGAAAGGCTTTTTAATTATATTCTGGCGGATATTTCATGGTAGTTTCTAATGGATAGCAATTTTGCTTGTGTTCATGGCTCGTTTATGTATCTTGCTTTGTTGAACGTCTGTTCATTCCTTTTACCCACGTTGTTTTAATCTTTTATCTTTTTATTATTGAGTTGTAAGGATTCTGCCTATGTTCTGGTTACAAGTCTTTGTCAGATAGGTGTTTTGGAAATAATTTTTTTTTTTTTAAGATTTTTCATTTATTTGACAGAGAGAGACACAGTGAGAGAGGGAACACAAGCGGGGGGAGTGGGAGAGGGAGAAGCAGGCCTCCCGCGGAGCAGGGAGCCCGATGCAGAGCTCGACCCGGGAAATAATTTTGTAGTTGGCCTAATCATAATCCTTATGGTATCTTTTGAGGAATGGAGTTTTTAATTCTGGTAAAGTCTGTGTTTTATCAAGTTTTTTATGATAATTTCTTTCTGTATCTTGTCTAAGAAGTTGTTAACCAAAAAAAACAGCCAGTTATTTTACCAGCAAAATGGGCTTATTCAAGAATGGCAGAGAATTACATTTTGGGATATGCAAGCTATGACAAAACCGTAGGCAAGTCCAACAAACAAAGGAGATGAACATTATTTTATGGAGAAGAAGGAGCGGGGGAGAGGTGGTTTTGAATGTCAGTCCATTGGAAAAAAGCAGGAGTTCAGGGTCATGCCAGTTTCTCATTGGCTGAGTTGCAGGGGTAGTCGAATTCTTGTAGGAGATGCAGGGAACCTTTTTTCCCCGTTGGGGCCTATAACTGATGATTCTTTCCTGTTTCCTGTTCCCTCTTCTGTTGGGGTCTGTAATCGACAAGTCTTTCTGGAATTGAGTAGAGTGGCAGGCTTGCCCTTCTAACCTCCCAACTCCACTTTAGTGAGGTTTCCCTTTATTAATTGTCACAAAATTTTACTTACCCCCAGGTTACAGATAATATTCTTCTCCAAGCTGCACGGATTTCGATTTAGAACTATGAGCTATCTCTAACTACGTTTTATATATTACATGTATATTTTGTATATTAGGTTTATATATGTGACGTAAGAAGAGAGATTATTTTTTGTAAGCATCAGGATATCTGATTGTTCCTACATTGTTTCTTGGAAAGACTTTTCTTTTCCCCCATTTGATTGATTTGGTGTCACTAATACTCATAACAAGCCACTGACTTGAAGAACTAGTATCCTTTTAGAGTTGAGAAAACTGAGACATTGAGCCACTTGTCCAAGGCCAGGCCACACAGTTACAAGGTGACAGAGCTGAGATTCGAACTCAGGCAGTCTGACCCCAGAGCGCACATCTCAGTTGCTTTCATGAGCTAAGAGTCTTGCTTCTGACCCTGGTGAATAGTTTCTACATCAGGAACAGTGAGTGAAATACAAATGTCTCTCTCTTTGCCCTTCTACCCTCTGCAGACACTGATGCACATAGTTCATCTTTTTTTTTTTTTGAGGTCACTGCTAATCAGTCACAGGTAGATGAATCCTGTTTGCTCCCCCCAAGGAGGTCCTCTCTGAGGACCCTTTTGTCTCTTAATTCATTTACACTAGCATGGAATGAGCTAAAGCAAGTGGAGATTACAGCAGATTCTGAGGGAAGGACTAGGGAAACAAAACAAATGGAACGTGAGGGGAAAGAGAAGAAAATTTAAAAGGGGATTTGAGGAGGCAAAAACAGCCAGCCTCCTCCTGCCGGGCATTTGTCTTCGGCGAGCTCATCCGTCTCGTGACGTAGAAACCACTCGGTGGAGACCGTGCCAGTGAGTCGTGCAGCCCAGGCACGTCTGCTCCGGGGACTGCAGGAAGCTCCATGCTGGTTTCCGTGTGATGGATTATGGCAGATCGCACCAGCCCTGAAGTGCCAGGCCATCCGGGTCTTACTGATAATGGGGCTGACCCGGGATACTGAGTATTCTTGACCTGGCTGACAGGATATTGTGGGACCGTCAGTCCCTCGGGTGACTTCACCAGGAGCATGTTAGTGCTGCAGGGCATATTGCTCTGGGAATTACAGAATGCTTCTTGGTTTCGGGTAGCTTCTGTTTTAATTTTTTAACTAAATTTTAGAACTACTTTTGCAGAACCGTGAACTGGGAGGACAAGGGGAAGAGATGGGTAGATTAAGCTCGTGAGGTGCGGTACTGTGGTGTTGCTGGTGGTGGTCGTGTTTACCCCCAGAGGGGGTAAGGTTTCAGGTTCAGGTTTCCTAAGGTGTCAATGACTAGCCAGAAAGGGAAACTGTTTTGCTAAGTCATCATCGAAAACATCTTTCTCACGCTGTTCTGCTTTTCACTGCCCAGGTCTTTAAGGAGGAGAAATACCTGAAAGATGCCATGGAGTGTAGTGATGTCATTTGGCAGCGAGGTTTGCTTCGGAAGGGCTACGGGATCTGCCACGGAACAGCCGGGAATGGCTATTCGTTCCTGTCCCTGTACCATCTCACGCAGGATAAAAAGTATCTCTACCGAGCTTGCAAAGTAAGGAGTCTTAATGGAGACAACTTGGGAATACTCCAGAGCATGCACAAAATCCAAAACTACAGCTCCCCTCCTTCTCTTAACCGGTTTCTCCCAGCTCTGTGGTCTCCCCTGTTTCTCCTGGCCCAGCAGTACCCCTTGCCCGGGAACCCTCTTCCTCGAGTGCTTGGTGAATTCATTGCAGTGTCTCATTTGCTGCCTTTTCACCAAGTGAAATCTCTGCTCTTAAATGTGTTTCCCCTTAGTTTGCAGAGTGGTGTCTAGAATATGGAGCACATGGGTGCCGCATCCCCGACAGACCCTACTCTCTCTTTGAAGGTAAGAGTGAGCAGAAAGCGCTGGGTTTAAATATCTGGGTGAGTGAATTTGGGCCTTCTGTGTCTCTGCACTGGCTTGTGGCATTTGCTCTTCCTTGAGTAATAACTCCCCCACTGTAAAGCAGCTGTGAACAAAGTAGTTTATTGCTGAAAATTACGTCGAGTCTTTCTGCCTTACCTATTTCGTGCACCCGTGAGCATGCTTCAAATATTTCTAAAGAATATATGCAGACAACATAGAATGTTTGCTACTCAGTAAAAGAAGAAATAATAAGGTTACTCCTCTGCATTTTGTCTGTAACATTGTATATATAATACTGATCTATTCACAGGAAACTTGTTTAGTTATTTAAATATGTTTAATTATTTCAGATATATAAAGAAGGATGAATAATTGATATTAGTAACTTAAAACTATTAGTAGTTAGGAAAATAGGTAGTTGGAAAAAATAATAGCATACTGAAGAACGTTCTGAAAAACAAGCAAAGACAGGAAATGAGCAAACGCAGTAAGTCTGCTGCAAAGCACCATATATAGACTATAATCAGGAAAACAAAATAGAAACCCTACAAAGAGGACTCGTACATTTTTTGTATTTATATTGTGTGTGTGCCTGTGTGTGTGTGAATTAGATAATTTGTGATATAAGCCACAGAAATCAAAGGGCAAAGGTTGAATGATACTAGGATAAATTGGTGATAACTTTTGATTACTTTAGAGCTACATCTTATACTAATTCCAAAGTAAACTTCAGAAGGAATAAATGATTGAATAATTTTTTAAAAAATCAAACAATAGATGGGTGTTGAATTTTGTCAAATGCTTTTTTCTGCATCAGTTGATATGATCATGTGGATTTTTTTTTCTTCTTTATTAACATTGTGGATTACATTGGTTGATTTTCAAATATTAAGCCAGCCTTGCATCTCTGGGATAAACCTCACTTGGTCTTCTTATATATCGCTGAATTGTATTTGCTAATATTTTGTTGAGGATTTTTGCATCTATATTCATGAGGGATTTGGCCTAGACTTTTCCCTTTTTGTACTATCTTTGCTTTTGGCATCAGAGTAGTACCGACCTAATAAACGGTACTGAGAAGTATCCTTTGCTCTTCTGTTTTCTGGAACAGATAATGTATTAATTGGTGGAAGAATTGGTGTTCCTTCTAACATAAATGTTTGGTAGAATTCTCCACTGAAACCTTGGAGTAGAGATTTGGGTGGGGACTAGTTAGTTCATAGGGCTGTTCAAGTTATCAGTTTCACATATGGTAAGTTTCAGTAGTTTGTATTTTTGAGACATTGTTCTATTTCACCTATGGTGTCAAGCTAATGTGTGTAAAGCTAATCCTCGTTTATTTCCCTTCTGATGTCTGAATTACCTGTAGTGATAGGCCCCATTCTGCTTCTGCTCTTGGGTATATTTTTTAATCATATATTAGAAATATAAGCAGAAAATAGAGCACTTGCCATTATCTTTTGCTGATTAATATCCTTTTAATATTCAAAGCAATCATAATGAAAAAATAATCCTCAGAAAAAAATTTCAGTCTTTTACATCATAAAAATGCAGTGTATCTGCATTCGACAGAACGGAGTTAATACCTGAACTCTCAGTGGAGTGCATTCAGGTTTATAAATGGCAGCTCCAGAGCCCGAGTAGGTCAAGATCTTAGAATGTACAACTCCCTAAAGGCTGGGAAGTTAGATTCGTCTGTTCCCTTGGTGGGCTCTAGGTAGATCCCTGTGGGGTGGGTGGAGAGTAGTTCTGGTGCCTTTGCGGAGGCGACTAGGCTGAAAGGGTCACTGACACGGTAACCCCTTCTGGAGCTTTCTCCTGCCCAAGTGCTCCGTCGAGGTGAATCTGCTGCTCTTCCCCACCAAAACAAGAAAACAAATGGACCACTCTAGGGTGTCGTGGGTCATCGTCTTTTTCTAATAGGTTCTGATAAGTCAGTGTTGTTCAGATTTCTTAAGCTACTGGAACCCTTTCTTCAAACAAAAACTTACAGGGTTAGTCTGAGAACAACCAAAATGTAGGAAAACAGCTGATGACACACACAAAATGTGAATGAATTGCAAAATCATTGAGGGAAGAAGCCACACAGAACAGGCTATATATAGTGTGGGGTTCCATTCAAAGGACATTCTGAAACAGGCCAGACTACTCCGTGCTGGGCATGGCGGCAGGGGTCAGCCAGAGAGGGACACACAGGGGGCAGGCAATGGAAGTATTCCATATCTCTTGACAGGAATTTGGTTTACACGAGTGTGTGCATTTGTCAGACTCAGAGGAGTCCACTGAGGACTTGGGTGTTTGGGTGCATGTAAATTTTATGTCAAAAGAAAAGCTATAAACAAAAATCCAATAAGGGAGGAATTGTTCTGATTGAAAAGGGAGATAAGGGGCCCAGAGGCTGGAGCCAGCCAGCTGGCGGGCTTCCTCACCCACCCTCCTGTAGGTCTCTTTAAAGCCCGATCTTGGTGCAGACTACAGTGATTTGCAGTGGGGATTTCGATGAAAACAAAGTTCATTTTATTTTTTTAAGATTTTATTTATTTATTTGAGAGAGAGAGCATGAGCAGGGGGAGGGGCAGAGACAAACAGACTCCCCCTGCATCCCCCGCCCCTGAGCACAGAGCTCGACACGGGGCTCGATCCCAAGACCCTGAGATTATGACGTGAGCTGAAGTCAGATGCTTAACTGACTGAGCCAACCAGGCGCCCCGAAAACAAAGTTCATTTTAAAGTAGCATTCGTGTGTGTGTGTGTGTAATGGAATATTTATTCAACCATGAAAAAGAATGAAATCTTGTCATTTGCAACAACATAAATGGAGCTAGACAGTATTGTGCTAAGGCAAACTAAGTCAGAGAAGGACACCATATGATTTCACTCATATGTGGAATCTAAGAAACAAAGGGAAAGAAAGAAAGACAAACCAAGAAACAGGCTCTTACCTACAGAGAACAAACTGACGGTTGCCAGAGGGGAGGTGGGCGGGGGGCTGGGGGAAACAGGTGATGGGGATGAAGAGTACGCGTGATGAGCACTGAGTAACGTAGAGAAGTGTTGAGTCATTAAATCGTACACCTAAAGCTAATATAGTGAAGAATTTGACAAATGCACACACTTGTGTAAATCAAACTCCTGTCAAGAGATATGGAACCGGCAGGCTTCCTCGCCCACCCTCCTGTAGGTCTCTTTAAAGCCCGATCTTGGTGCAGACTACCGTGCAGAACGCCGATATGGAAGAGAGAATTCCACCCTACTGGAATTAAACTTTTTTAAAAAAGTTTTTAAAAATTAAAGTGGCATTCTTAAAATTCAAAGAAGATATAAAATGCAACCTTTTTGTTTGGACTAGGAATAAAGCGCTGAGAGAGGAAGTTTTATAGTTGAAGTAACACCATAGCAGCACCCCTAACTTTTTAGGTGGCCCTTCTATGAGATCATCTCAGAGTTGCAAGACACAAGATTAAAGCCCAGAACCCAATTAAAAAAAAAAAATAAGACAGGGAAGAAAACTGGTATCGTTATCTGCTGGGTGCTAATATAAGGATTTCTTTGTGTTTTTTTGGTTTTGGTTTTGTTTTTTTATGAAGTCATTTGTGACGTCCTCAGCACCTTTCCCATCATCCCTGTAGCCCCTGGTACAGGCAGTGATCACAGGTCACTTTGTTTTGGACACTCCCCTAATGCCCTTGAATAAAAGGATGCACATTGTACGTTGCAGGCATGGCTGGCGCGATTCACTTTCTCTCGGACATCTTGGCACCGGAGACATCCCAGTTTCCGGCATTTGAACTTGCTCCTTCGCAGAGGAACAAAAAGATGTAAAGAGACTATAAGACACCTGTTTGGACCAAAAGCCAGGTTGCTTAGTGCCTGACACAGAACCAACTGTGAATCCGGAAGAAGGCAAAAAAAAAAAAAGAAGTAAACACCTTCACGGGCCCCCTTTGTTGCAAAGACCCTCAAGTTAGAGCATGAATGACAGAAACCATCCCGTCAGCGTTTTGTAACAGTGTTCCCCTCACTGGTGTGAAATACGAATTCTTCACCTCCAGCCCTCTGTAGCATTTGCATGTTCCTTGGTGTTCGTTGTCTAGAGGTATAAGTTGTTCCAAACAGAAAGCCCTTCCCTTCCCATGAGCCCGGAGCCGAGCGCACGCGAGGGCATGGCGGCAGCCACTTCTCTGTGTATAAGATTTAAGGGAGGTGTCTCCTGTGTTGACAGGGAAGAGTCAGGCAGTGTCTCTCTCATATACCAGAAAGCGTCTCTAAGGTGGTATCCTTGTGGTACTTTGTCAGCACTCTCTGTGAGTACCTTTTGGACAAGCACGAGGGAAAGACCATTCCAAAAACCGAAAAGAAAGAAGATAAGAGGGGGGGTTTTGCTGGAATGGTTGGGGGTGGGGGTGGGGGTTGAGCCTTTGCACCGGGTCGCCGAACGCTCTGCTCCCTCTTTGTGTTTTGTGTTCACCCTTGGTGTTTTTAAGAAGCCAGAGGGCATGCGTCGCAGCTCTACTGGGGCGCCCTGTTCTCAGCTGAAGTTCCGGGCACCTGTGTGGAGTTCCAGAGGCTCCTGCCAGTCCCAGCCCAAACCAGCCAGTGCCCTGGGCGCTGGACTTCGTGATACCAGAAAACAGCCAAGGGAGGCCTTTCCATGACCATACTGTAAATCAAGTAGGGGTGACTAAGCGTTGGCAATTCTAGATTTGGCTTACATTATTAAAACTTTATCATCATCATAACCTATTATAAGTTCAGTAGATCCAATTCCAGATGGCGATAAGCAGATATTCACCTGTTCCCCTGTCCCTGCAATTAAACTTACATCAAAATTTGGTAAGTTATCTCAGTGTAAATTTGGGAGGAATACGGTCATTTTTGGCCTACTTTTGGGTGATTGAAATCTCACATTTGATTGAAATATATGAAGCAATAAAAGGACTAGTCTGCATTTATACATATGGGAAACATAATCTAACCAAGAAAATTGTGGTATTAATCTGCCTGACCTGTTTTATCTAAAAAAATGGACATTAATTTGGATTAGCATATTCTCAGTAATTCTGTCGTGTGGATTTCAGGTTTTAGAAGAGTTTGTCATCACCGTACCAGTGACCTGGGACTTTCCACGCACTTCTCTTGTGAGCTAAGGCACGGGTCATAAAAGCCTAGATAGGTTTCTCCGCTGGTCTGGTCCTTGTCCATAAGGGTCTGTCTAACCACTTATCAGCCCTAGTTTCCACTCCTTTCATAAAGGAGCAGGAATATCCATGCAGAAGACAAATCTCCTTCATGCATATGCAGTTCGTCGGGTGTTGCTGAACCTTCTTTGTGGGCCTGGCATCTGAACATGGACCTTCATTTTCTTTTCTTTTTTTTTTAAAAGATTTTATTAATTTGTTTGACAGCGAGAGACATAGCGAGAGAGGGAACACAAGCTGGGGGAGTGGGAGAGGGAGAAGCAGGCTTCCCACGGAGCAGGGAGCCTGATGCAGGGCTCGATCCCAGGACCCTGGGATCATGACCTGAGCCGAAGGCAGACGCTTAACGACTGAGCCACCCAGGCACCCCCCTTTTTTTTTTTTAAGATTTTATTTATTTATTTGACAGAGAGAGACACAGTGAGAGCAGGAACACAAGCAGGGGGAGTGGGAGAGGGAGAAGCAGACTCCCCGCAGAGCAGGGAGCCCGACGTGGGGCTCGATCCCAGGACCCTGGGATCATGACCTGAGCCGAAGGCAGACGCTTAATGACTGAGCCCCCTCAGGCGCCCCGGGACCTTCATTTTCTAAATGAAGCCTCATGGATGCCTTCATTGCAGACACTGTTTCTAAGTCATGACTATCTTCTCTCACGTTAGGTTGATGGCTTCCATGGGTATAAATGCTCTTGGTTATATTTTAACCAACCTCCTGGGCCTGCCCAGTACTTCTCAGGCAGCCCAGTACCCCATTCCTAAAGTCGGGACATGCGGTCCTGGGTCAGTTGAGGGGGACTGTTTGGCAGGAGAGCCAAACAACCATGCCCCCTCCTTCCCTCCCCACCCACCTCCTCCAAACCACACACACACAGCTTAGGAGGTCTTGCCTGCCTCAAGGCTTCGGCTAACAGCTTTGCCCAAACTTAATTCCTCAGGGGAAGCCAATGGGACTGCACAGGGGTTACCCCCAGAAACCCGCAGTACATCCTGCCTCAGCCAGGGGGAGCACGTCGAAGGCCCTGATTCTGGGCACATGTCTCCAGAGCAGAAACAGCAATGGAGACTCGCTCACTTACCTGGGCATCTCACCATATATGAGAAGTTAAGTGTCAGCCTTCTTTCCAACTAATGTACTGAGGGAAAGATAAAGTATTCGTGGAATAAATGGAGCTTTTATTTACGGGGTTTCCTTTTTTAAGTCAGCTGGGTTGACACCCTCCTGCTTACCCACTAGATGTTAACAGATGCGCAGCTCTCCGACTCTACGTTATCCCCCTTCCTAGCACCTGTTACGTAGCTGCTGCAGAAGGGACAGTCCCTGAAGGCAGAGGAGAAACGGCATCCACTTCAAGGAACAGAAAACTTACGGAAGTCGGTTCAGTAATTCTAAGTGTTTGAATTCAGATCTCAGAACATCGCACGGTGATCTCTTGATTTGTTTGTGATCTCCAAAATGTGTCTAAATTTTAAAACTATGTGTATGCACAATACCATTTTAAAATTTGAAAGAAAAAAAGTCGATGGCCACAAAAAGTGTGTGGAGTTCTTTGGTTTCGTTAGTAAAGACAGTTCCGCGATGACGACTTGTGGGCTCTTCATTTATTCTCACCTCCATCTGCGTTTGAGAGTGAGGTTGGTTGGGAGCATTGGTCACCATTCTGAAGATTTCATTCTTCACTTAAAAATGTGGCAATCGCCCACATCACGAGGTACTGAATAATTCATTAGAACGATAACAAGGCATCTACACATGCGTTCTTTTTTTATCCCAAGGCTCCCCAAAAGCTGGACAGTGATGGTAAGAGCAGCCTACGTTTAGCTGGCATGGTGTGACGGGCCTTTGCCCTCACCGTCCTTAACGGTGACAAGTGGTGACAACACCGCTGGAGGTAGGCACTGTTATCCCTGTTTTACAAGTGAGAAAGCTGACAGCCTTGCCCAGGATAACCGCTAGAATGGAGGACAGGCGGGGTTTGCCGTTGGTCATGCTCCTTTGCACCCAGTACCCCTTCGCCTAGATGTCCCTGCAGAAAGTAAGAATTGAAACCTGGGAGAGGCCTTGCGCAAGAGTACATGCCTAGGAAAGGAGGAACAGGGCCTCTTTCTCTGTCCTTGTCACCTGCTCGAGCCTACTGCCCTCCAGGCTGGGTGGGGGACTCCAACCGCTAGTGTAATTGTGTAGGGCTTTTAGCATCTATTACTTCATCTGCTGGATTCACAAGAGCAGTGATCCAAGTTTAAAGTCCAGGTTCCCTGAACATTTTGACAGACTGTCCTGACTCCATCCCAGGCTGGCTGCTGCAGCTTAGAGGGGCTCTTCCTTTCTTGGCCCTAAGTCCGGCATGAGGCTAGGTTTGTGGGGGGGTGGGGCCATGGTGGTTGTGAGGATCCTAGGTGTGTGCCATGTTTTCTGTGCATATGCATATGAATCTCCGGAGAAGGGGTTCCTCGCTTCATCAGAGCTTTTCATCAGAGCCTTTGACTCCAAAAGGTAAAAAGTTCAGGTTCTGGAGTAGAGAATGCATGTTAGCAAGCTGGGCTTCAAAACAGGGAGCAGGGAGGCTGTGCAAGATGGGCATGGCAGGGGTATCCGGGATCACGAGGCACCCGCCCATCTAGGAAGATCCCTATCGCAGTGGAAGATGCTACCTTCAGGTCTCGACTTTTCCATATCACGTCGACTTGAGGAGAGCCAGCTGTCAATTTTCAAAGTGACCGTCACCCCCTGAGGCCCGTCAGCCTGCTCTTCAACGGGCCCATGGCCCTGGAAGGCCGTGTTGCATCTTTGCCCTTCCTGATCAGAGCAAGGTTGCAGGCTCCTTCAAGGCCCCATTGTAACCAAGACTGGCTCCCCAGAGCTAGATCGCTAGAAGCACCAGTGATCCCAGATGCTTGAGGCTATTCTGAGGTCCAGTTGCTTCCCAAATACCACTGCACCCATTTTCCCCTCTCACTTAGAGGTGGGAGGCTTGAGTCCTTCATTCAGCACACGGTTATTGCACGCCTACAGTGTGCCAGGCATTGGGCTGAGTGCTGAGAGTGGTCAGTTCTCAGCGGTCATGGATTCTGGCCTCCTGAGTTCACAGTCCTGCTTGGTGAACACCCACTGGGAGTGAGTAGCATTGAGCTCAGACGCAGGGGAGGCCCTCCCTTAATAGGACATCAGACAGCTCCTCTGCATTGTGGGGTGGGGGCAGTAAGCCTCCCGGGTGAAGAAGACACTGTGCGTCTTCCAGGTATGGCAGGAGAGGACCCCAGGTAAGTAATCACCCAGCTGTGCAGTATGACGCCCGCTCGCATGAAGATGAGGCTGATCCCAGCCATCAAGGGGCATATGGACTGGAGGTGAAGAAGCTGAATGCCTGTGTTTACCTCTGAATTCAACCACTTGTGTGAACTTAGACAAGAAATTTCCTGAGCCTCAAGTTTTGTTTTGTTTCCAGAAAATCAGGACAATAACCAGGACATCTTCATGTGGTTGGTGGGAGGATTAAAATGAAATAACAAATAGAGAAAGTGTCTAGCCACTTGTGAGTGCTCTGTTGGGGGAAGTGAAGGTGTTGGTGTAGTGCTTTTAAAATGTGACGAAACAGGCTCACTCTCCTAAGTAGTAGAATGAAAACCCAGAACTGTCCAGCTCCAAACCCCATGCTTCATGACAATGCTGGAGCTTCCAGCCCCTTGAGCGTGTGTGTGTGTGTGTGTGCCCGCGTGAGCACACACGCGTGAGCGCCTCACCGCCCCAGGGTCTTTCAAGGGGAGGAAATCCCATAGGGGCAAGGAGTAACCAAGCAACAATTTCAGGCCTAGGACAAATCTGAAAGTTGAGAGACGTTGGGTCCTCTACTTCGCTGGCCTATTCTTCGTTTAGAGACCCACAGCGATCTTCCCAGTTCTGCATCAGGTGGCCTGTTGTGGCCTTCACAGGATCGTCCAGCAGAAGCAGTGCAGGTCACATGTCAATAGAGTACACCCCACCCTTTAAAGTACTGCCCGTAAGAGGATAAAACATGTACCAAGCAACGTAATCGCACATCCTCCCATAATCATAAATATTCCCCATGGTCCCAAGAATGGATGAGGCCGGCTTTTCAAACCATTTCTTCACAGAGGAAGTTATCACATACTATATCAGCTGTTGGGGACGAAAAGGGGGATAAGGAACAAGGCCTGCTCTCCTGGCCCCAAGAAGCCCTGAGTCGGGAAGGAGGAGCACATTTCCTCTTGGCACCTGGGCTAAATGTTCTCAGACCTTGCGTGCCTGAAAGATGTCTTTGTTCTGCTCTGACACTTAAATCGCTGATTGTTTATAGAATTCTGGACTAGAAATCACTTTTCTGCTGAACTTTCAAGGCATTGCTGCACTGTCTTCTAGCTTCCGGCATTGCCTCTGAGAATTTCATAGCCATGGTGATCCTTGTTTTGTTGTGTGTGATCTCGTGCCTTGCATGTCATTGTTTTACAAGGTGCGGATTTTTTCTTCTCTATGTTTCTTCTTTTTCTTCTCAGGTGTTTTCTTCTCTATGTCATTGTTCTTCTCCATAATGAGTCAGTCAGTCCTGGACTTTTGGTAGGCCCTTCCAGCTTCCCTGGAAACCTGTGTCTTTCAATTCTAGGGCTTTTCTTATTTCTTAATGTTTTTCCCCCTCTGATGTCCTTGTCTTTTTCTTGAACACCTGGTGTTACTTGGTTGTTAATCTCCCGTGACGGTCCCTAACTTTTTTTTTCCTTTTCACATCCCCTTGTCTTTTTGCTTTACTTTCCAAGAGATTTCAACTCTATTTTCCAGTCCTTCTATTAAATGTTTCCTTTCTTTATGTCCGGGAGTTTGTCTTGTTCTTAGGGACCTTTTAAATATATTGTCTTCTTATTTCTTAGCCGCAATATCTTATCTCTCTGAGGATGTTAACTTATTCAACAAATGGTCATTAAGAGCTTATTCAACACCAGACACACTATTCTAGGCAGTTGCTTTGTGAACAAAGCAAAGATGCTTACCTTGTAGAGTTTGCAGTATAGCAGGGAGAGATAAACAATGAACAAAAATAAGCAAATTGTCTCATGTTAAGGTAATAATATGGAAAAAAGATAAAACAGAATAAAAGGGACTGACAGTGGCAGAGAGAAAACATTACTATTTTAAACAGGATGATCAGAGTAAGACTAGAGACTGTGACATCTGACCCAAGACATGAAGAAAACGAAGTTGGCCAGATGAACGTTTGAGGAAGAGCACCCAGGCAGAAGGCAGACCAGTGAAAAGGCCCTCGGGTCAGAGCACGCCACTCAGGTTCATGGAAGAAAAAAGAAAGCCTGGTTGGAATGGAGTGAATGAGGAAGAGGGTGATAGAGGATAGAGGAGACTAGGCCTGGAAGGCCGTTCTTAGGAATTTGGCTCTCACTCTGGGTGATGTAGAGAGCCACTGGAGAGTTTTGAGCAAAGGAAGGACATTATCTGGTCTATGTTTTAAAGGGATCATTCGGGAGAATGCAAGGTAGCAGCAGGGAAAAGAGAAGGCTAGTCCAAGAGAGAAATGATGGTGGTGGCTCACCCCGGTATAGTTAGGAGCAGTGGAGTTGGTGAGAAGTGGTCAGAATCTAGATGTATCTTGAAGCTAGGGTCAATAGAATTCCCTAAAATAGGTGCAGAGTAGAAAAAAGTAGATAAAGATAGCTCCAAAGTGTTTGTCCCAAGCAACCAGAAGCTGAGATGTGAAGGAGGTCAGGCAGGAAGATGAGGGCTCATTCTTAAGCATATTGAGTTTGAGATGACAAACATGAAAAGTCTGGAGTTTAGAGAGAAATCTGGGATGGAGCTGTCACTTTGGAGTCTATCAGTGTTATTGAAAGCCATAGGGCTGGATGAATTCACCCAGGAAGTGAGGATAAAGAGAACAGGGAAGAGAATAAGAGGTCAGACAAAGAGCTTTGGGCCACACCAGCATTAAGAAGTTAGGAGAAGGGCGACTGGGTGGCTCAGATGGTTAAGTGTCTGCCTTCGGCTCAGGTCATGATCCCAGCGTCCTGGGATCGAGTCCCGCATCAGGCTCCCTGCTCCTTGGGAGCCTGCTTCTCCCTCTGCCTCTCTCTCTCTCATGAATAAATAAATAAAATCTTAAAAAAAAAAAAAAAAAGTTAGGAGAAGAGGGGCCTGGGTGGCTCAGTCGGTTAAGCATCCGCCTTCAGCTCAGGTCATGATCCCAGGGTCCTGGGATTGAGTCCCACATCTGGCTCCCTGCTCAGTGGGGATCCTACTTCTCCCTCTGCCTGCAGCTTCCCCTGCTTGTGCTCACTCTCTCTCTGACAAATAAATAAATAAAATCTCACAAAAAAAAAAAAGAAGAAGAAAAGTTGGGAGAAGAGAAAGAACCAGCCAAAGTGAGTGAGAAGAAGCAGTTATTGGGATAGGAAGCATGTTTTCCTAGAAGCCAGTGAGGAAAATGGATGTGTGTGCAGATGGAAATGAGCAACTGACCCAGATGCTTCTGATAAGCAAGAGAAAAATTAAGAATTGACTGTTAGGTTCAGTAGATAGAGGTCATTGGTGAATTTGTCAGCAATATAGACAATACTTTAAAGA